AAACTGTCCAATTTGGGATTTAATTTGGACAGTTTTCAATAAGGACTTTGAGTAAAAATGCAGAAACTGTGCAATTTGGGAAAAAAAATGACAGTTTGTCTCCGCCAATGAAATTAAGCTATTAACCTTCTGAAGATTATCGAAGGCCACATGAAAACTTCTGAAGATTTCCGAAGATCACCTGAACACTCCCGAAGATTTCCGAAGATCACCTGAACAATTCCAAAGACTTCCAAAGATTACCCGAACACTTCCAAAGATTTCCGAATAACACCCGAACATCTCCGAAGATTTCCAAAGGTCACATGAGTACTTCCGAAGACCGCCCGAACACTTCCGAAGATTTCCGAAGATCACCCAAACACCTCCCAGGAATTCCGCAGACTTGTGACAATCTCCGAAAATCACCGGAGATCACCAGATATTTTCGAAGCTGTCCCAAGTTTCGGAAGATCGCGGGCCCAGTCTGTTTTTCTTCAGAGACAGTTACTGTAGTTTTCCTTGCAAAGCTGCATTACCTCAAGAGCTATATAATTAATAAGTAACAGGACTACATGCTTATCCAATTTGGAAATAATTGGATTCAAAAAATTCCTCTGACAGCCAAATTGGACTTGGCCTACGGCCTCATCCAATTTTGGCTGTCCGGAATTTTTTTCATCCAATTATTTCCAAATTGGACAGCATGTATTCCTATTTCATATACTAATTAGAGAAATTGTGTTTCAGCTGCCAGACACAAACGGCTGTATCATGTTTGATTCACATGTCTCTTTGTAATAATTAAATGACCAGAGAAGGCAGGTTAACANCAGACACAAACGGCTGTATCATGTTTGATTCACATGTCTCTTTGTAATAATTAAATGACCAGAGAAGGCATTTTAACATTCTGGCTACAGGCTTGTTTCGTTTTCTTCTTTCCTTGGGTGAAACTTCCGACTGACTTGCCGTAGTCACACTGCATCTCTTAGGGATGGTTTGTAACATTCAAAGTCTCCAAGCGAGAGCAAAGCATCTTGACTCGTCCCCAGGACGTTATTTTAGAAAGGACTCAGCTAGTCGTCAAGTTTAAAATTATTTCCCTAGAAAAGAGCGTCTTATCGCTTAACCGTAGATAGAAGTTTTTTGTGAAATTCGCTCAGCTCCTATTGTGAGCGCAACAGCCCACACTTGAAGGGTTTAAGGGCGGCAACTGTTGAAATAATTCTATTTTTTGTCGCAGTGCGATTTGAAATATGGTTGCCACCCAAATCAAAATCGACATTTCCAACGGCAAACAATCAGCGTGATTGATTGATTGATTGATTGATTGATTGATTGATTGATTGATTGATTGATTGATTGATTG